CATCCATCCATCCAACAACTCAACCATCCATCCATCCATACAACAACTCAACCACCCATCCATCCATCCATCCATCCATCCAAAAATCAATATATCCATCCAACAACTCAACCACCCATCCACCCATCCATCCATCCATCCATCCATAAATCCATCCATCCAAAAATCAATCAATTGATCCATCCATCCATAAATCCATCCAACAACTCAACCATCCATCCTTCCATCCATAAATCCATCCATCCAAAAATCCATCCATCCATCCATCCATCCAACAATTCAAGCATCCGTCCAACAACACAACCATCCATACATCCAACAATTCAAGCATCCATCCAACAAATCAACCATCCATACATCCAACAATCCATCCATCCATACAACAACTCAACCATCCATCCATCCATCCATCCATCCATCCATCCATCCATCCATCCATCCATCCATCCAACAACTCATCCATCCATCCAACAACTCAACCACCCATCCATCCATACATACAACAACTCAACCACCCATCCATCCATCCATCCAACAACTCAACCAATCCATCCATCCATCCATCCATCCATCCATCCATCCATCCATTCATCCATCCATCCATCCATCCATCCATCCATCCATCCATTCATCCATCCATCCATCCAGCATCTTGTTCCAGAGTCAGGTCTTGGGGGCAGCAGCTCGGTCATTGAGGTCCAGACCTCTCTTTCCACAGCCACCTTTTTTAATTTTCAGAGTCTCTCCAGACGAACTGAACTTTTCAGCCTATCTCTGAAGGAGAGTCCATCTATCCTGCAGAGAAAACTCATTTGGATTTTCTGGATCTGAGATCTGGTTCTTTTAGTTCCTACCAGAGTTTCTGACCACAGGTGAGGGTAGGAACATAGACCGACAGGTAAACAAGGAGCTTCTCCTTTCTTCGATCTGTCTGTGGATCTCATGCTCCATTCCACCGTCACTCACAAACAAAACTCTGAGGACCACCCTATTCCAACTGAGGACCAAGGAGGTTCTGATCCTGATCCCAGTTGAGAACTGCTTCACACAGATCTGGAGATCACAGCCATGATGACACCATTATGACGCCGAAAATAAAAACTGATATCGAATTTAAAAAAGTTTTAAAGGTTGAGAACATTCATTTTGATCAGTAGTTATTGTGGAACTTCCTGCCACCTAGTGCCGCTGCACAAAAGTTACAGCATTTTGATCTAATGTTTGGAGAGAGACAATGACACCTAACTCCTCAAAGCCAAACTGAACCAATCCTTTAAAATGATCACCATCTGAGGTAATATCGGTATGGGTTTCTCTACCATCTTATTGTAGCTCTAATAATCATTCAGCACTTGCAGACACACAGGAAACACGCTCAGTTCAGTGATTTATGGTTCTTATATCACCCAGCTGAGGATTCACATTGCAGCAAAATTATGAAAAAATAAGATGCAAATTTGAAGTCTGACATTTTTGGAAAGAATAAAACTATTTCCCAGGCTTAGAGGGGTGGGGAGATTATTAATCCTGGTTGTGTGTTTGGAGCAAATTTTAATGTCATCAAGGAGCCAGGAAGTGATATCACCCAGTGATGGAGACGTGTCTGTAATCAGTCAGAGCTCGAAACTATCTGAGCTCCTTGTTACAAAAAAAAAAACACCTTGAACCTGTGCGACACACAGACACACACACACACACACACACACACACACACACACACACACACACACACACACACACCTGTCACCTATCAGACAGTTCAGAAGCTCTGCAGAGAGCAGAGGGGGGTGGGAAGCTGTGAAACGGGGAGGATTAGTCACTTTGTCAGGAGATGGACGAGGCTTCTCTCAGGTGGACGGCAAGCCGTGGGAGGGGGGGGGGTGTTTCTCCGAGAGCGAAGACGGGAGAAAATTAGAGGAGAGCAAACAGTTTGAGGAGACAAATGGAAGAGTGCAAAAAAATGAAGACAGAGTGCGAGAGAAAACAAAAATGAGACGGAGACGGTTGATGATTTGCATCGCTCACTCGCAGGGAGACACTTTGGGCTGAGTGTGACCGCCAACATGCCCATGTGTTGTGTTGGGTCTTTTATTCCAGGGTGGTGAAACAGGCTCTGGACCCTCGCCGTGTGTGTGTGTGTGTGTATGCATGTGTGTGCATGGGGAGGGGGGTTGTCAGTTCAAGCCTGAACAGGAGGTGTGGGATCCAGAAAGCTGGGGGTCCCATGTGAGAATGCGGCCATCGTCAGCGCTGCCGTGGCAGGCCTCGGCACCATCTGTGCTCCCAGCAGGGCGCCCAGCGCGTTCGCCGCAACACAGACACATATGGACACACAAAGGTGCTCACTCCCCCTCCCCCCCCCCACCCCGCCTGCCTTTTTGCCTCTCGCACATCAACGCTCGCAGGGAGCAGAACTAAATGCGCTCGACACCGGCGTGCGGATGACGAGTTTGTTGATCAGATAGCATCTTGATGATGGTGATGATGATGTAAGCGCGATGACTTCAGAGGCAGAATTAGTCAGCAGACGAGCCAGCTGTGGTTTGACATTCACACCGAACCGCACGTTTCATTTTCACTACGAGAACGCCAGTTTACYTTTTTCTGAGCCTAAATAATAACGACAGACGGTTCGTTAGCTGTAAGACTCATGAATAACACGGGGAAGATTAGGAACTTCTTCACCTGTTTCCAAACATATAAAATAGCTAAAAAGAGCAACAATTTACAGCAGGTGATCARGTAATCGTCTGCGACTGTCTGTTAGAAAAATATCTCATGATCCACTGGATGGATTTCAATAGTCATGTTTCCATCCAATTATTATACGAATTTTGAGCAAACTTTTAAAATGTTGCAAAAAAAAAATCAATCAATTGACTCGACCAGGCTACACATTTCATCAGATGTTGACATTTAGCGTGGCTGTGATAAACAGGAAGTGGAGGTTATAAAGTAGCAGGGAGGACCACATATCTTCAACATCAACATTTTGTGTTTAACTTTCAGTAAACACAAAATGCCATGTTTCTTGTCTCACTGCTACAGCTGAACACAGCTAACAAACAATAACTGAGCTCTACCTGGTATTTCCTGCATAGAAACAGTGTTTCAACCCATCCTCTTATAAACACTGAGAAGTACTATGTGTACGCCTGACTAAACGTGAAATAAATACTACGGAAATACTAACAAGAATAAAAGTAAGAGAGTTTTACTCACTGTTGAGTTGTGGTGGGTAGCTGTATGTATTTTGAACTCTCCCTCTTTCCTACAGGGAGTTCCTACTGGAGTGGCGTTCCAGATTAAATTTACAACTTGAAAGTGGAAAATTCACACTTCTCAGTATAACTGGGCTGCAGCAAACGTACCCAGAAAAAAATTCAGCAAAATGGAGATTTTRCAATGTTTTCTAAAAACCATTTAAGATTGTATTTCATCAAAAAAAAAAAACTGTATTTATGAGTTTATTTGCTGGCCACGAGGCATCATTTGCTATGATCTCTGCAGAGTTTATGAAAGAACGAAGGTGCTGCTGAAGTCACCTCTGAGCGTCGAAGCGAGGCGGCAGCAGATCTGTAACGGTACGAACATAAGGTTAAAAGACGGTTTTGAGTCTTGACAGCTTTGAAGCGTGCTCTTTGTTTATAACATGTTAGGGTTTAGTTGCTAAATCAGGGTTCAGGTTTTTCTTCTAAGGACCACAAAGTCATCAATCCACCTCTCTCCTCCATCTCTCTTCGTCCTCGCTCCGACTCTGTTCCGCTCAGCTTCCCATACCTCTTCCTGATGTCTGCTGACCCTCCTATCTTGGCCTCGGCCCCCCTCTGAAGCTGCACCTGCCGCCTTCAAGGTGTTGCTGAGCTTTCCCTCCGTTACCTGTAGACCTTTTCTTTGTCTCTCTCTCTCTCTTCGTTTCCCCCATCCCTCCATCTAGGGCCTCCAGCTGGCTGATGAGTTCATTAGGGGCCCAGAGCTCAGCCAAGGAGCATGGCAGAGTTTGGGCCAAACCAGGAGGGCACCATCGAGGGGGGGAGGAGGGCCCCTGGTGGCCATTGGGCACAGGCGATGGTCATTGGAGTGGAGTCAGAAAAGTCCCAGAATGTCCCACATGTCGACGAGTGGGCACTGTTTGCTCTTGGAACACGGAGACAATTATTTTGTACATTAGCAATCTGGTTTGGGGCTCGTTTTCTCCCCAAAACTTCAGCWGCAAAAAGAGTGTGAGGTTCGAATGGGTCCACGTAAACAATAGTGGGGAGACAGGCGGGGGTGAGGGGAACAGATCTCTAATAATGCCCACAGGTTGCGGT